CCCCAAAACCCCAAAACCCCAAAACCCCTCTTCTGCAAAAAAGGTTGAATTTAATTTGTATTCGGATACGAAATATGATGGTTATATTCTGTCATCTCCACTTTTAATAAGAGACAGAAGATTTTTAACCTCTAAGATTCTTTGCTCATGAGACGTCCAATAGCTTTCACTTATCTCAGGGAGGTTTAGATAAGAAACTCTACCGAAATCGGGATGAATTCCATTAACTTTAGAGTGAAGATTCCAAATACTAGTGAAGAGAAGATCCTGCATTATTTTTGGAATCTGCATTAATGTTTCAACCCAGATTTCTTGGCTATCTGGATTTGATACCAAAGAATCCAAGTGTCTTGTAATTGCTCTCTCATAAGGATTTTCTGGTTTTCTAGATAGTATTAACAAATGAGAGTTACTCCAATTTTTCAAGGTTATCTCCTACACCAAACATCAGCAGATTCTTGATATCTATTATAATTAGGTTATCTCTAAATTGCCAATCTTACCAACAAGGTCAATTTGACACTGAGAATAAGCTCCTTCATCAATAAAGTCTCGAGCCATGGTGAGTTGGATATTTCCGGCCTTATAATATTTGTGTGCAATAAATTTAGCAAATCCTTGGAACAAGAAAATGAGGTATTCTGTTGATTGGCATTCTTGGAGATATCTCTCACCATAGTTTGGAATCATCGGTGCTCCAAATCTTGCCCATACTAGCATGTAAAAGGCATCTAAAAAGCCATCAATGATCAAGAATTTATGTCTGAATGACTCTCTAGAAGATAAGAAGAAAATTACTTGGCATCCCTCTCTTCTAGAAACTGTGCATAGTCTAATTCTGAAGCGACGTTCCCTTCTGTGGTTGCATTCCATGCCCAAAACTCTATGAACAGTTTAATCTCATCAAAGCTATGACTTGATGCAGATCTCATCAAGGAAGATATCTTAAATGCCTTTGTTGGTTATGTAATCTGGAGTAAACTCTGAGGTTGCTAAATTATGTTAAAAATCTTTAATAATTATGAATAGATGCGAAGAACGAGTATTGTAAAATGTATTCAAAATACAGTCTAAAGCTGAAACACAACATTCAGCTTTCAATATAAAAATTGTGATGACATAATAATTCTTAATTGCTATTTGACCAAGTGCTAAATAGTTTCATCAAAGTAAACATTATGGAAAAATACTTTAGGTATAAAAATTGGGGATTTTGAAAATATAGCAAGAAATAGAACTACTCTATATATTGTTAAACAAATAACTCACTAAATGAAAAAGACAGCACAGAGACGCTTCTAAGAGCAGACTCAGAGATTCTTATACTTCAAAATTCTATCTTTTTATTCCAGACTTTCACTAACTTTTGAAAGCGGAATTTTAGTCGGAGCATAAACCTTAGAAATAAAAATATGTTACGCCAAAACAGAGAATAATTGAGTTTGTAATTCAGTGGCATTATGGGACTTCCAAGATGGCATATGCTTACTTTTACAATTTTCTTGGTTTATTGAGCCATTAGAATCGATGAACCAATTCTTGGGGAAATTATTTAGCATACAAGTTTGGTCAAAGACTCAGTGGGAAGTAACCAAGACTTTCATTGCTTTTCGATGCTCCTCTAGCTCGATGGCAATGGAATAAAAGTGTACTAAAGGACATGAAAGATCAATTAAGACACTGGCATTATCGGGAGAGATAGCTACCATGTTAGGATCCTCTGCTTTGTGAATGTAAAGTTCAATCCAATTTTCTTCTGTGAAAAGATTTTCTGAGTTAATCATTATTGGACTACATTCACTTCTATTTTAGACCATAGTCAATGTCGTCATCAGTGTAGAGTGAAGCCATAACATACTTATTTCTCATCTTCGACACCTGGCTTGAGGTAATCCATGAAATGTGGATGAAACACCATGTTAAATCTTGCATATTTTTCACAATGATCGTAAATATATCTTTCTCTAAACATTGTGGAACTATGATTAACACAAAAATAGTTGATATTCTCTATTCTGAAATCATGGTCATTTTGAAGCTTTGCTAATGCATCTTGGGCCTTTTGAGGAAGAATATTTCTACAGTCTTGAGCATTATCTGCTTTTACAAAACTTATCACGGGCATGAATTCATAGATGTCTCCGTAAACACCAATATACGGGAAGTTCATCATTTGGATAGCTTCTCAGATCTATAAAATTAATTGCTAACTCTTTTATAGGGGTTACCTTGACTCCTTTTGCTCTATGTATGGTTCTAAAGAGATTGTAAAGACTATAGTCTTGATTTTGAGCAGCTATAATAGCTTCTTCTTCATCAATAGTTCCAAAGCTTTCATAATAAAACTCAGCTTTTTCTTCACTAAAGGGGATTTCCTCCATCTTTTCTGATATAATTTAGCAAGTTAGAATTAATAAAATTGATGAAAGTCAATATAAATATCTTGAATTGGGGTTTTGGGGTTTTGGGGTTTTGGGGTTTTGGGG